TGGTATTCCATAGAGTGGTGATGCCCACAGGATCTTATTAAAAGTGGGTCTGGAATCTAATCAGGAAGGTAGAATGGAATGGGGAGTGATTTTTTTTTATTACCAGCTTTCCTTCACCTGATTTCTTAAAAAAATTAATAATCTAGGGATTCACTTGATGTGCATTTTTCTTAACACCAAATATAGGATCTTTCCCAGTACCATTTCTCTGACTCTCCAAAGCTGAATGAAAGCCCTGTAATTCAATTCAGTTCCTAGACTGACTCCCCAGAACTCACACAAACAACAGGCTTAGTTCCAGCAGACTGCACCCACTTTGGGTGCAATTTCCAGTGACATGTTCCAAGTTGCCACCCACACTGGTCAGCTGTAAAATCCACACTTCCTCAGTCAGTTTTAATAATGCAGAACTACTCACAGAATTCAAGAAGCCACTTTACTATTACTGTTTTTACAAAGTATGCAACTCAGGAGGAATCACTTTGAAGAAACACATAAGGCAAAATATTGGTTAGGGGGACCAGGGGAGAATGAGTAGAGCTTCCATGACCTCTTTTGACAAATATCTTTCACAGCACATGGGTTTTTTGTTTGGTCTGGGAGCTCTTCTAATCCTCTCATTTAGCAAAGGTCCTATGTTAATTTCATTATTTCAACATTATTGATTAAATCACCAGTCTTTGGTGATTGAATTACCAATTTCAGTTCTGCCCTCCCTGGATATGTGGTTTGAGAGTGAAAATTGTAAGCTTTTAATCACGGCTTGTTTGCTTGGTGACCAACTTCTCTTAAAAAAACACTCATCTCTTGCTACTATAAGAATAAACCATCATGAAAGCAAAAGATCCATGGATGCCATATAAACTCACCCCAGAAAGATTGTTCTATTAAAACATGATTGCCACTCAATGCCTCTTTTGCAAACCACAGCACCCAAAAGGAGAGAGAGAACAAAAGGGAATGCCCTGCCACATAGGCAGGGTGGGATGGGGGGAAGGGGAGGTGGAAGGGATACTGAGATCAGTGGTGGTGGAGAAAGGGCACTGGTGGAGGGATGGGTACTCGATCATTGTATAACTGAAACCCAAGCACAAAAGTTTTTAAGTCTACCTCATGGTACCTCATGGTGTTTCACTAATAAAAATTTTTTTAAAAATAAAAAAATACAAAATAAAAATAAATAAAAGTGCTGAATGGGGTGTGGTGAATAAAGAACTTTTATTTACAGTTGGTAGGACTTTTGTGTGATGCAGTCTCTCTGGAAAACATTTTAAAGACACCAGAACTTGTTATGAATAGAATATTCTTAGAACCCTGAAAGTCTACTTCTGGGATTCTATCCCCAGGAACATGAAAGCATTAATCCAGTGGGGGAATGGCAGTTCTAGGAGAGAGCAGAATTTCTGGTGGTGGAGGCAGTAAGCATTTACAACCATCTACAATGATGTAAAACAAATAGAGAAGAGAGATTCATTTCTAACGTCCAAACATCAGATTGAAAGATTGACCTATGGTGCCTCCTACTTCAATTTTAACTCTTTAAGTTTCTTCAGGTATATTCTGAAGTGACAGATGAAAAAATTAATAAGTATTCATATTGACACACAGTAACAAAGAAGAAAACCGGCTGGAGGGCCCCCACAGCTCCCAGAGAATGCTCCAGGTCCCAAACAGAGCCGATATCACTGGGAGGTTCCAGATGGGGTAAGTGCTGCATCCCGCCTTCTCCAGATGGACTCTGATGACCATGAGCCTCTACAAGCATAGCTATGGCATGCAGGTACCAGGATATTTTTCGCACGACATCTCCTTATATACAAAGTGATCAATGGAAAGTAAATCATCCAACGTTTCTCCCTGAAAATCAGGCTTAACTCTTTTGCAAACCACAACAACTAAAAGGAGAGAGAGAACAGAGGGGAATGCCCTGCCACAGAGGCAGGGTGGGATGAGGGGAATTGGGGGTGGGAGGGATACTGGGATCTGTGGTGGTGGGAAATGGACACTGGTGGAGGGATGGTATTCGAAATAAATAAATAAATAAATAAATAAATATAGTATTCTTATTGGTGCATCCTGATAAAGAATCAAAATAGTGCTGGCAGAGTGCAAAAGGCTTTTGAATATGTGGTCAAGGATTACAAGTAGCTACTGAATCAGGAGCAGAAGAAGAGGGCCCCAGATGTAAGTCAAGCAGGAAATGAATTCGTGGAAAGCACTGTGAAAGATCAAAAAAAGCAATTAAAGAAGGAAGGGAAGCCTACAAATGTGGAAGAGAACTTTCCTGAGCTGTTCAAACAAGTAGTATACAAACAGACCATGAAGCTGTTTGCTGAGCTGGAAATTAAAAGGAAAGAGAAAAAAAGACAAAGGTGTGTGAAAGGAAGTGACAAAAGGAAGAGACAGAAGAAAAAGTCAAATTAGAAAAAAGAGTGGCAGAAAAACTTGGGGGAAAGTCGAGATGGTTGTGTGGACAGCTGATGAAACTTCCAAGCAAATACAAAAGAGAAGAAAAGAAAAATGAACCTTCTGGAGACATGCCCCCACCCTCCCAAAGTAGAGATGGAATACCATGAATGACATCCTGGGCCCAGCCTGCAGAACCTTCTCCCATTGTCTCCTTTCGACTTTATTTTTAAAATTTATTGAATCACTGTGGGAAAAGTTACAAAGCTTTCAGGTTTAAGTCTCGGTCATGCAATCATCAAACATTTCCCTTCACCAGTACTCATTTTTTATCACCAAGAACCCCAATAACCTCCCCCTCCCAACCCTCCCAATGCCTGTGAGACAGATGAATTTTAGTTAACACTCTATCTACTTTGAATAGATTCATTGTTTTGACAAAAGATGCACCATTATTGTTTAGAGTTTACACCCCAAAATCAGACCTGCTGAAAAGTTATTGTGAAATAATTTGTTTTCTACAGCTAGTTACAAGAACCAAATCATGTCGCGCAGCCGTGATAGTGGCCACGCAATTTTGGATTTCTGATATTTTACTTATTAAGCCTGGAAGTATTTCTGCCGAGAGTCAGATAATTATGAGATTGGTTTCTGTGGCTTTGGAGCCATGGCCGTGCCGGAGAGCCGCTCGTGGGGGGCAACTCATGACCTCGGTAGGGCGTGAAGGACAAGCCAGGAATGCCCCCCTTTCCCACTTTGAAGGATTCATTCTGCTCTCCCATTTCCACCCCAACGGAGAGTGGTATTGACTTTTTAGTACATTTTGTTTTCGATACAATTTAATACTGACCAAAGTAATTCTTCTCTACAATGGAAACAAGGGGCTTGGTTGGATAAAGAACCTTCCTCTCTTGTACCTAGACCAACCCAAAGTGGAAGGTACCTCTACCCTGGCTGCCTTCTCCTGCCAACAGCCGATAACTTTTTGTGCTTTGTACTCCACTGGATTATCACAATAAATAAATTTATTGGGAACATTGTGGAGAGTTTGTGGAAATTAACCAATTAAACATGTGGCCTTAAAAAAAGAAAAAGAAAAACATTCATCCAAAAAGATGCATGAACACCTGTTCGTTGCAGTACTGTTTATAATATCAAGATACAGAAACAGCCAAAGTTGGCAACAACATGAAGGGATTTTTAAAATGTTATATATATATATATATATATACATATATATTGTCAACAATGGCATCTTCCCATGTTGCCGCAATAGTGCCAAAGAGTTCCCAGTTGGTGGTCGTTGTGGGAGTTCTCTTTTTGAACTTTGCAGCCTTTTCTCCCCGCTCTGTGAAGTAGAATTTTGCACGAAGGAGACGGTGGTCCAATCCCTTAAATTTTGGGACAACAGCGACATCGGTCAGGCAAAACCATCAATTGAATATGATGTGGTCTATTTTGTTGTGGAATCATCCACCGGGAGACTCCCATGTCCAGCCTTTAGATTCTGCCTTCTAGAACTGTGAGTTACCATGGATGGTCTTGGTCAAGATGATGAACTCAGACAGTCTCTCACCCTGTTCGTTCCATTCTAGGCCATGGGTACCGATGTGAAGTTCTACAGCTGATCTTCTCGGTCCTATCTTGGCATTTAAATCACCCACAATGATCTTGTAGAAGGTGTGGTCTTCTTTATAGAACTTCTCCAGCTCCATGTCGATTTCTCTTTCATCATAATGAAATGTTGGTGCATAGACAACGAAGACAGAAACTGCAGGCAGTGAGCCACATCTATTCAAATGTAAACGTCCGATTCAGGTTGTTAGGCATTCAAATGAATCAATGCTCTTGGCCAAATTTGTGTTGACAAGGACACTGACGCCTCTGACACCTCTTTTATCGCATGTTCCGAGGAACAATTCTTCTCCAGTGTCGAAAACGGCATGGTGAGATTCGTGCCTTCTTGTCTCAGTCTGACCAATGATGTCGTACTTGATCATTCACGCTTGTACCATCAGGTCCTTGATGGATGTATCTGATGCTAGTGTATGTGCATTGAAAGTACAGATGATCATTTTTGTCTTCCTTCGTTATGGCAGCCTAGTTCGGCCTTGAGATTTTGTCGGCCTCTCCTTTCTCATCCTTCTCAGTGCTGCCATGTCAGTGAAGCCTTCAGGGTCAGGTGAATGAGACCAGTTGTAGTTACTGGTTTTGACATATCGAATACACAACGGATAGCTTGCCAGGCTCTTCCGTGCGGGCGGAATACTCTCGGTAGCTTGCCAGTCTTTCCAAGAGGGATAGAGGCTTTTGGGGCGACCTCTAATCACCCTTGTAGGTGTTACCATATTTGAACCGTATCAAATATGGAACGACAATTCCGGAAGTTGGGTATTTAGTGTCTTATGATGTGTCCAGAAAGCGTCCTGGAGTGTGGCAACAGCTGGGTAGTGGAGGTAGTGTCGATAGTGGAAGTCTGCCAGTGGGGTATTTATCTGGGTAGGGTGGGTATTCTGTGTGCAATCCGATCCCTGGGTGGTTGATGGAAGCAGACAGGGAAGGGTAGGGTGGGGCTCCTGATTAGAATCCCTTTGTCACCTGTGGTTGGTGGGAGCAACCATTCCATAAGGGGCATAAACTCTAGTCCAACTAAGAAACACAATGGGATTGCCATCATGGTTGAGGCAGGACAAAGGCTTTCCTGCGGCCACGGCAGTGATGGTCTCCAGGATGGACGACTCCTCGATGTTGCTGCCTGGCGTTCGCTGTAGCACATCCATCAGGTTCGTGATGAAGAAGTTGTTCTGCAGCGCGGCCATCCCCTTCTCGGGCAGGATGGAGGTCTGGCAGCACACGGGGCAGGATAGAGTCAGGCTGTGGGCCGGGATGTAGTTCTGCAGGCACCTCTCACAGAAAGTATGCAGACAGGGGAGAACCTTGGGGTTCTTGTACCGTTCCAGGTATATACTGCAGATCAGGAACTGCTTGTCAATCTGGCACACCACAGGACTTGGGATGTTGGTGGCTTCACTGGCCATCCTAGACCACTGACATGGGGGGCTGGCTGTCCTTGACTCTGCACGCTGCTGGCGCTGGTGGGAAGCGTCGGGGGCAAGTGCGCACCCCGGGCCTGGGTGAGAGCTGAAGGTGACCCCAGCGTCACTAGGCAGACGGCGGGCACGCGGGCGCGTGGCGGGAACACTGTCCCCGGGCTGAATCCCGCGGGTCCTGGGCTCTGAGCTGGGTCACTGCCATGGTATGCTCGCCCCCGGGCAGAGACAGCGACATCTGTTTTCCATAAACCTGAGGGCTTTGACGAGGAATACGATCAACTGGTTCAGCACCTCCATGAACTTGCGAGGAACGCCAAGAGAGAGATAGCCACAAAAAAACGCTGGTCTTCGAAAACTCTTGAGCTAATTTGCCAGTGTGGTTTGGCGCATGCCTCAGGCAACCGCAAGCTAACATCCGAGCTCGCAAAGCAGTGCAGAGATGCGATCAAGGAAGACCTCAAAGAGAGAAGAGCAGAAGTACTGGTAGATGCGGCAGAAGCCGGGAAAAGAATTCGTAACGCCCGCCTGTCCTTCGCCAACTACAAGACCAAGATGACTGCCCTCCGACGTCCTGATGGATCCATCACATCCTCCAGAACAGCAATGGAGAAGATTATCCATGACTTCTACTCAAATCTCTTCGATAGCCATGTCCATTTGCCGACATACCAAATTCCACAGGATGGATATGTCGTTCCCAACATTTTCCCTTCCGAAATCTGACATGCCATTATGTCGGTAAAGAAACAAACAGCACCCAGCCCAGACAAGGTCAGACCTGAACACCTGAAGAACCTGCCATCAGTACTCATCAATACACTGACTCGGCTCTTCACTCACTACCTGTCTGAATGCAAGGTTCCGTCCCAATGGAAAACCAGCAGGATCGTACTACTGTTCAAGAAGGGAGACATCCATGACATTGGCAACTATCGCCTGATCTGCCTATTGTCTGCCATCTACAAGTTGTTCACTCGAGTCATCCTAGATAGGATTGGCAGAACACTAGATGAAGGACAACCATGCGAGCAAGCCGGGTTCCGCAAAGGATTCAGCACCATCGACCATATCCACACAATAACCAAATTCATTGAGGTTTCTCAGGAGTTCAAGATGCCGCTCTGTTTAACGTTCATTGATTTAAAGAAGGCCTCTGATTCTGTTGAGACCGAAGCGGTCATTGAAGCCCTAGCCAATCAGGGCATTCAAGCCCAATACATCAAGATCCTCTGTGTGCTGTATTGCGGATTCACTACCAGGATCTCACCATTCTACAAAGAAGTGATCGTTGATGTCAAGAGAGGGGTGCGGCAGGGTGATACCATTTCACCGAAACTCTTCAGTGCCACCCTCGAGAACATCATGCGACGACTGGAATGGGAAGGAATGGGAGTGAAGATAGATGGTCGGCAACTACACCACCTCCGCTTTGCTGATGACATTGTTTTAATAACACCAAACATCAGCCAAGCGGCACAAATGCTGGCCGACTTTGACCGTGAGTGTGGAAAGGTAGGACTATAGCTGAATCTTACGAAGACAATGTTTATGAGAAACAACCTCGTTCCTGATGCCCCATTCGCTCTCAACAGAACGACCATCTCTGAATGCAACAGCTATGTGTACCTAGTTCGAGAAGTCAACATGACAAATGACCTGGCGCCCGAGCTGCGCAGGAGGAAGAGAGCGGCTTGGAATGCCTTCAAGAACTTCGAAGAAATAGCTAAGAGGACCAAGAACCTCCGGCTCCGGGCACATCTCTTTGATTCCACTGTTCTTCCTGCATTAACATATGCCTCAGAGACCTGGGCCCTACGCAAACAGGATGAGAACGCTATTCAGGTCTCCCAAAGAAGAATAGGAAGAGCTATGCTTGGAATATCACTTTTTACTCAAATGAGAGAAAAAATCCGGAGTTCCGACATCCGTCGACGATCAAAAATCAGGACCGCTGTCTCATTTGCCAAGGTGTCAAAAATCAGATGGGCTGGTCACGTAATGAGATTTAAAGACGACCACTGGACTAGAGCTGTTACTGACTGGATTCCACGGGATGTCAAAAGACCGCGTGGCCGCCCACCTACCAGATGGTCAGACTTCTTCGTCAAGATCATGAACAATCGGTTTGAGGCTCTTCATGTTCCCAGAGCGAACAGATGCCATTGGGCTACACTAGCACGCGACAGGGACAAATGGAGACGTTACTGGCGCCTGCTCAAGCAAATCGATGACTAACGGGAAGTTAAGTGATTAAGTGATATTTATATATTGAATACTATGTAACTATGATAAAGGACAACATTCTGCAGTTTGCTGCAATTTGTCTGCAGTGGAGGGCGTTATGCTGAGTGAAGGGAAAGTAAATGGTAAATATTGGCTGACCTTGTTCATATGTGCATTATAAGGAAACAAAGAAAGGTATCTGACAATCCCCCATGGAAACAAACCTTGAGACCTGATCAACAGAAAGGGGAACTAAAGTGATTGGGGCAAGGGGAAGTAACCTTGGGAAAGTGAGAGAAGAATTTTCAAACACTGGTGGATGGATTGGTGTAGAATTCTGCAACTACAAAATAACAACATCAAAGCTGTTGAAAATTATGATGCCTAAATTTAAATAAATCCATTTGTTTTCAAAAAGAAGGAACCAATGGTGCATAAGAAAGTCCATATAAATCTCTCAGCCATCTTAAACCTAAACCAGAATCTCCTTGAGCAGACCACATTAGAATGCTATGAGAGTTTTGAATTGCTGTAGCTGAATTTTTAGCAGCTAACTTGAGCTAAATATGACCATCGTGAAGATAGAATCAACTGGCTTTGCCAAGCTGACCTTTTTTCATATTTATCTGATCTCCTAAGTCAGTTTTTAAAACAACAAAAAACCTGTATTCCCCCAAGTTAGGGAGATAGATTTAAATCTTGCCTCCTGTCTCCTTTTTGGTGAACTTCGCAATAAAGCCTTTTTTGTTTTAAAAAGCAATAAAACTTTTCTCAAAATTCACTGTCAATGTAATAGGTTCCTCTGTGCATCAGGCAAAAGAGAATCCCTTGCTCTGTAACACCAGTAACAGTACAACAACAACAAAAACAACTTCAGTACAAAATAACAACTTTAGTCAAAGGCTCCTGACCCTGAGATTCTGCATTCCATAATGCCATACTTCCTAAAAGTATAGTCTCAAGGAAGGACTCAGGCTCCTTTGATAGAATGATAGGATACCAACACCTGAGAGCACTTTGCTGAATACTGAGCAGACCAATAAATACAGAACAATGGTCTGAATTGTTCCATGAGGTAACCAAATTGCTCTTTGAGCATAAGTCTGTGCCTTGTTTACCAAGGTCAGCCCCAAAAGTGAACATCAACAGAGCCAGAAAGTGGTTACTTCTGCAGAGATGGCAGCCTAGGAGGAGAACATATTCACAAGTACATTACTGGTGGCAGTAGACCCTAGATCCCAACAGACCCTACGACAGAGACTATGGGCTCTATTCTGAGTACTCTCACAAGCATTTCTGACTACTGAGGCAGGCAGATGATTCATAGGTGCATTTGCTGTCATGGGAACTTGTTGTAGGGGCTTATGACTCTCTGAGATTCTGATTTAGTGGGACTAAGGAGAAGTCCAGGCATAGGTATTTTCTTTATATTTTCCAAGCAAGTCTAATATAAAACTAGGGTTAAAAAGAAACTGTTCTGGGTGCCAAGCAATTCAACAGGAATCATGTTTCAAAAATGGTGTTGGAACAACTAGACTCCATGTACAAAAGAATAAATGTGGGGTGTGTGTCTTTTCCTCACAACAAACACAAAAATGAACTCAAAGTGGATCATAGACCTAAATACAAGAAATACATTCCAAAAAGTCTCAGGAGAATATGTATTTGTATTCTCTCTCTCTCTCCTCTCTCTCTTTCTCTCTCTTTTTCATTGCATTGGGGTGGGTGGACATTTGGGCCACACCAAAAGATGGTGCTCAGGGAGTACTTCCAGCTTTGTGCTCAGTCAGGGGTTGCTCTCAGCGGTGCTCAGGGAGCCATACAGTGCTGGGGACCAGACAAGCATCAGTGGCATACAAGGCCACTTACCTTAACCTCTATACTTACCCTTTCTGACCCAGAAGTACATCTTCATGACCTTGAGTCTGACAAAACCTTCACTGATATGACATCAAGAGTAAAAGCAATTTAAAATAATAGTAGACACATGGATTTCATTAAAATTAAAAACCATTTTATGCTTCAAAGGGTACACTTCAGCAAGAGAAAGAAACCTTCACAATGGGAAACACCACTTCCCAGGCATCTCAAATAAGAAAACTGCTCCCAGATTATACAAAGAGCTCTCACAAGTCAACAAAAGACAAAATAATTAAATATTTTGAATAGACGTTTTTCCAGAGAACCTGTAACAGTGAATGATAAGCATGTGGAAAGATGTTCATTGCTATTAGTTCTCAAAGAATGGCAAACCCAAACCACAAGAAGACACCTACCCAGTGGATGACTATGATCAAAAAGACAAATGACAATAATGACAATTGGAGAAATTGTAACCTGGGTGCATTGCTTCTGAGAACATAAAGTGCTACAGTCACTTTATAAAACTGTCTATGGTAGTTGTCAAAATATTGATGTAGAGTTAGCATATATCTAGCAATTTTACTTCTGGGAATTTACACAAAGGATATGAAACCAGTAGTCCATGGAAAAGAGATAGTACAGGGGTTAAGGCATTTGCCTTGCCTGCAGCCAACCCTGGTTCAATCCCCAGCACAGCACCTGGTTCCCTGAGCATTTGCAGATGTGATCCCTATGTACAGAGCCAGAAGTAAGCCTTGAGCATTGCCAGGTGTGGCCTGAAAACATATGTCCCTCCTCCCCCAACCCCAAATTGGTACATGCAAAAACTTGCACATGGCTTTACTTGGCTTTTTTTGCAAGGGCCAGATATTGGAAACAGTCAAAACGTCCACTGCCCAATGAATTGATGAACAAAGTGTGGCACATCCATACAGTGGAATGTTGTTTGGTAATAAAAATAAATAATGGCACATAGCAACATGGAAATACAAAGACTAACAACTTGAAAATACAAACGTTGTGTGAAAGAAGCCATTCACAAAAAACCGCATCTTTTTTTTTAAGACTTTACTCACTTTATTCAACATTTCATGAATCAGACAGCATACCATCTGGTAGATAGAAAGTTACTCCAAGGAGTTGTAAAAACAGGAAAGAGATTACTAGGCAGAAGAGAGCGAACCAAGAAAGTTCATGCATGAAAAATAAAAGACCTTATCTTAAATTATTTCATTGCTACTTAATGCCCAGAATAAATCAACCTGTGAGAAGGAAGGTAAAATCAGTAATTGCCAAGGATTTAGTGGGAGAGGAGAGTGAGGAGAAGGGGTGTGGAAACAGGGTTTCTTAGGGGAATGATGCAAAGTTTCTAAATTTAGGCTGTGGTGCTAGATGCACAACTCTGAAGACACGAAATGCAACTGAATTGTTCTCTAGACTTTAAATGGATAGATTGGATGGTATTTGAATTATACCTTAATAAAGATTTTATAAACTCTTCTAAGCCTTTTAGAGGAGATATTATGCTACTCAAATAACAAAATTTCCACTGAGTTCATTTTAAAGGTCTAGTTGGCTTTATTAAACAATTCATGGAACCATTCAGTATTCAGTCTAGCATGTAAAAAGATACTGCAAAGAAGTTATACAAAATGGAGGGTTTTATATGCAGAAAGAGGATGGGACAAGGTCCTAAACAAAGGAAAAGAAAGACTGCTTCAGGGGGCAAGGAACGTAGCTCAGTGGGGAAGGATATGCCTTATTTCTAGTGTGTGAAACTCTGAGTTTGGTCACTGGCACCACATTTAAAAAATACGATAATTTCAGGCAAAATCTCCTCCCTTAAGGGAAGCATGGGTGGAGGGGGTGGTGTCTTACATGCAGAGTATATTATTAGTGCTTAATAAGAGGTTCCAGATTATTTACTTAAATTTCCACTTTGAAAGAGACTGAAACTATAGCTAGTTTAGATATTGAGTCTTTATGGGGCTTGACATGAAAGGGGCTTATTTTTTTTCAGGTTTTTATTACTATTATTATTAAATTGGTAATATATACAACCCCCCAACATTTTTGAATTTTATTTGTTTATTTATTTATTTATTTATTTGGGGTTTTAGGGGTGGTGATGCTCATGGTTTACTGCTGACTGTGCTCAAGGATCACTCTTGACAGACTCGGGAGACATACATGGTGTTGGGAATGGAACCCAACGGGCTGGCTGCACACAAGGCCAAGTACCTTACCTGCTAGTCTATCATTCTGCCCGCCTCCACAAAAATATTTGTTTTTTTTTAAATTTGTATTAGTGAAACACCTTGAGGTACAGTTGTAGACTCAAATACAAATATTCAAATACAAAAAGCTAAAAATAAAGGACCATATTCAAATACAAAAAGCTAAAAATAAAGGAGGGTGAAGGAGCATTTGAGCACTATTTTCTCTAAACACTCCTCAATGAGTGAGTGGGGATTTGATTATCATCTGTATAGCTGGGTTTTACAGTTTCTACAAATTTTTGTGCTTGGGTTTCAATTATACAATGATCAAGTACCCATCCCTCCAGCAGTGCCCATTTTCCACCACGACTTATCCTAGTATCCCTCCCACCCCCCAATCCCCCCATCCCCCCTATCTCACCTTGCCTCTGTGGCAAGGCATTCCCTTACCCCACAAAAATATTCTAATTTCACCTATCACTGCATCCTAAATAATATATTAGGCTATTATGATTTCACTGTATAGTTCAGATGTCTGATTTAAGACCACTCTTTCCCACCCTGTCTCTTATCTATTAACCATGATCCATCCCAAACTTTCCAGACATTTTTCTCTTCAGACAGAAGCGAAAGAAAATCTTGCACTTTGCTTCATGAAGACACTGTCAAATGGATAGACTAAACATTCAAATCTCTCCTTTTCCTATAAGCTTTGTTTCAATAATGTATGCTCAGCAAAGGTTTGGACACTCTCCCCCACAAAGTCCCTGCCTGATCATACCCCAATAGCTGGACTGTGCAAGCAGGCATCAAGTTAGAGGTAGTGAAGAGCCATGTACAACCTCAACCCACCCCCCTCCGGGGGGCCCTGGTGAAGACAGCCTGGTGCACAGACAGCCCAGTAAATGTTGCTACCAGGTAGGAACCCAATAACTCTTTTTGTGAATTGACTGTCTGGAACTCCTGCCACACCACAGAAACGGCCTTTCTGCTCAGCTAATAAAAGAAACTGAAGTCCAAAACTATTGAGCGCTTTCCCCCAGACATTGAACTCAGTGGAAGAGCCAGACTATTCCCCAGAGTCCTGAATTTCCAGGGTCTTCACCCCAGCTAAACACCCCAAAGTCAGTCTTCTTTGTTTTTCTATCATATTAAAGGTACAGTTGGGGAAATAGTTCACCCTTTGAATTTTCAATTTATTAATATTAATTTTTCATTGTTTCTATTTGCATATTTGCGTATATTTGTGGCAGGTGGGAACTCCAGGTGGTGGAACCAGGAATCAAACTCAGGGCATATGCTTTACCACTTGAGCCTAATTACTATTAACTTCTTGGGGATAAAAGACCTCTGAAATTGGTCAGCCATGTTAATCGAACATTATGTTGAATTATCTTAAGTCTTTATAACCTCCAGCTTCCAGTGTTGTAAATAGTACTGATAGAGATGCATATTAGGCTACAGATGGTGGACCAAGTCCATAATCCAATTTTTTGGAACCATATTCAAATACAAAAAGCTAAAAATAAAGGAGGGTAAAGGAGCATTTGAGCACTATTTTCTCTAAACACTCTTCAATGAGTGAGTGGGGATTTGATTATCATCTGTATAGCTGGGTTTTTTTTTCAGGTTTCACCTGAAAGACTTGTTGTTTGATACAAGGTCAAACATTCACAAGAAGAAGGAAAAATGGAAAAGAAACTCTCTTCTCTCTTAATGAAAAAAAAAGTTTCCTTGACTAAGTATAAATATTGATTAGACTCCGTACAAGTTCCTGGAAATATAATGATTTTCTAAAATTACAAGAATGCATTATTTATTGTACCTGTCACTGAGGTAAGAGAATAGCATATTAGGAAAACCAGAGGCGTATAGGATTTTTTTAAAGGGAGAGGGTGAGATTTGCAAGTAATTCCATTTTAGTATCATTGAATAAATGCTCCAGGATTCCTCTCTGAGGACTGCCTCTGGGTCTGTATCAAGTGCCGCCCCAATTGTAATGACAACAGACAGAAGGACCCAGAGGTCACTAGCTTCCTAGAAAATACGCTCCGAAAGAGGAAGGATTTACCTTCCAGCCAGAGTGATGTTGGTCATAGTCACTGCTCTATGTAAATAATCATGCCATATTTTCAACTGTTTTTCAGCTTTAATAGCCTTGGTAGCCATTATCAATTTTCCCTCACAGAAAACCTGTGAGGCATAGAGACCGAGGAGTAAGTCCCCCTTTCCCTTTTCTTTGTTGCTGTTACAGACTTTAGCCACAGGACTCAGGCTTCTGGTAGCTGTGCTCTCCAGGGGCTGCATCCTTGGCTCAAAGCTCTCACACTCGGTTGTAGGGCATTGGAGCTCACACACTGTTGTAGGTGGCACAGCGCTCGGATCACACTCAACATGTGGAACAGTCAAATCCATGGCCTCAGGCCTGCAATGCAGGAGCTCTACCAACTGTGCTCTCCTGGAGTCGTTGCCAATTTTATTTTCTTACAAGACGCCTACCATGCACCAAGAATAAGACATCCAGAACAAAACAGAAATGTCTCCTGCCTGGGTGAAGCCCACAGCCTTGTGGAAAAACAGATATTAAATATATACTCCACTAGAAAAAAACCTTCCCTTTCGGTCATTCTACCACAATCTTTGATTAAAGCCTGCTCCAATCACGTTCTCATTAGGTCCTATGATCCCAAGAAGTTGATCAAGACACAGCCCCTGCCTCTAGGAATCCCCTGTTCAATCAAGAAGAAAGTATCTGAATAAAGAGTCATGCTCGGGGCCCTTGACACCATCGCTAAAGTAGGCATGTTTAAGCTAATTGGATTTTTCTTTCTTTCTACCTTTAAGAAAAGAAATCTCTGAGCTGAAGAAGACATGATCGCATAATGGATGAGGGGGATCTGGGATTGGGGCAAGTGTTCAGCAGTGGGACCAGACGGCTGAGAAATGAAGGGACCCTAGAAGGTGAGGTTGGCCAAGCAGTGGTAGGGGTGCCTCGTTTGCATATAACATTCATCTCGTCAACTTTTATGGTATTTTCATCTTTTGGTTTGTTTCAGTGTCATGCCCAGAGGTTCTCAGGACTTATCCCTGGTTCTTCACACAAACACCACTCCTAGCAGTGCTCTGCAACCATTTGTGGTGCATGGAATTTAAGCCAGGTCAGTTCCATGTAAAACAAGTGCTTTACACCATGTCCTATCTCTCGGGTCCACACAAGCTTTCATTTTGAGGAAATTGTTTCCAAAGTAGAGTAGGTATTTGAGTTGAACGTGGTCAGTTGGGAATCCCAATGGACAGTAGGAGTATACTTTCTTTTCTTTCTTTCTTTCTTTCTTTCTTTCTTTCTTTCTTTCTTTCTTGCTTGCTTGCTTGCTTGCTTTGTTTCTTTCTTTCTTTCTCTCTCTCTCTCTTTCTTTCTTCTTAGAAAGTAGAAAAGTTTACTCTAGACAAAAGGAAAAGGAACTCCTCATTTGCGAAGGAAGTTAGCAAAAACCTAAGTGCAGGAGCATACTTTCTTAAAAGGCATAAGAGAAACTGGCAAGATCATTCACTCAGTCTAGGCAGGTAACACCCTACTAAGGACGCCATCCAGGTGAGTTCAGAAAGTCTCTCAACACTTTTCCTGGAAAGGCCTTGATTCCACATTTTATGAAGGGAGGCACAGAGCACTTGGGTGATCTCCCCGTGGTCCCATTTCTAGTCAGAGAATGGAGTTCTGTCACTTACATTGCACAAAGTGAACCCTCAGAGAATGTTTGTCTTGGCTCAAGGAGAGAGTGTTGGCTGCCTGGTGAGAAGCCAAGGCAGTGATAGTTGGGTGACATCAGAGGAGAGAGGGGCCAGAGTGACTGCCCTGTAATCCCTGAAAGAGTCACCCAGCCTCCACATTGAGATGCACAAAAACATCCTGGCATCTCTGAAGGGTTGCCACCACCTCACTCACTAACTAAACAAAGAGTGAGAAAAGAGGCAAGAGAAACTGATTCTGGCAGGGACTTCCCACCCATTCTGCATGCTCAGCAGGCCTATACATCACTTCTCCCTCAGACTGTTAATTAGAAAGACACCCTCCACTCCACACAACACGTTAATTATGAAAACAGGGTGCTGTGCAGACATAACATGGAAATGAAGTGACATGCATCCAATTAATTAAACTTTCACAGTTCCAATCAGTTTTAATTAGCGAAGCTATCCTTTCCACTCTCCTAGGGATCAATAAATGAACTTCACAATACACACATATTTTTTAATCGATTAAAAAAAACACAGGAAAAAATGGAGTCTATGGCTGAGAGGCACCAGTGAACTCCTGTGTAAAATGTTCTATGTGCACTGTCCACTTTCATTCTCGGTTGAATTTATGAGCAAGAAGGCTTCAGCCCCCTGCAACTTGTTCAAAACTTAAATAAAAAACTAAGAGAGCTAAGAAAAGGCAGCCCCATTGTTTCCACTTACTTTCATTTTTCTTGTTCATAGACCTCAAAACTGCACTGAGGACTTGATATGTTAAAAAAAAAAAAAAGATCATGAGTGCTAAGGAGATACCTCAAAGGGCCAGTGCATGTGTGTTGTCAGTGGGAGATTTGGGTTCAATTCCTCTTACTGAGCAACACCAAATCTCTCTCTCTCTCTCTTTTTCTCTCTCTCTCCATCTCCCTCTCTCTTCCTCTATCTCTTTCTCTCTCTCTTTCTGTCTCTCTCACTCTCTCCCTCATACACACACACCTCTCATACACACACACACGCACACATACATACACACACACAAGATGGACTTATGATACAATGTCAGCAGAGGAGCTTTACAGCTGTGTTTCTTGGGGTGATCTCTACATGTTTTAGTTGTACCCTTGACCACAGGACAACTGTTTCTCCCTGAGGAGGCCATCACCTCTGAGCAAGCACACAGATTCTAGAGACTTGGCCAGATCAACAAAGGCCAGAGGAGAGGGATACTAGTCAAGTTTCTCAGGTCAACCAGCTCAGTCCCAGAGATCAAAAAGGTTACAATGCAGCATCAGGATGGGCCTTCCCTACAATGTTGTCTGTGCCACCCTCTGACCCTTCCAGTTGACTGAAGCATGATGTGTTCTTGTCCAATTTCCCATGGGGGTATTGAAATCCCTACACTGGAGCAGAGAGATGGCCAGATGAAAGGACTCCACAGAAGGTCAGCACCCAAGGCAGTCAAAAGGAACAGAGGAATGGAGGTGTGCAATGAGTTAGACAACTGAGAAAGCTAAAGCAGAAAATGAGACATAAAAGCAGGGAACTTGCTGTACTCAGCAGTCATTGTTTGTAACTTAGAAGTACTGTTCTGGGTAGTAATAAAAACAAATCAAAAGCAATAGAAAAAAAATCCAATGCAAGATCGTGAGGTAGTAAAAAACTCTTCTTGGCAAATGTCCACACTCCATCTCTGAAATATAGAGCTGGTCAATCCCACTTCCCTTTCCAGAAATTACCAACTCCAGAAATTACATTAGAAATTATAGCAGTTAAACTTCAGAAATATTGGCTCAAGATGACTTAAACACTATGAAAACAAATTAGCTCATGTAACGGGATGTCTTGAAGGCCAGTATGGGGCTGGATTGTAAGGTTGGCTGATTCAGTAGCTCAGAAAAAACATTAAAGACTCAGCTTCTTTTCATCTGTCTCTTCTGCCATCCTTAAAGTTGGCTTTATATTCCTCCTACTTGCAGGATGGCTGCCACAGACATCATAACCAGGATGGCAGGATCCAGAGATGCTGAGAGATCATCTTTCCTCCACTTGTGGAGGAATCACAGTCCCCAAAACATCCCTTCCCCAGCCCCACCACATCTCAATATTTATACTTGGTAGCACTGTAGCCCTGTCCTCCCATTGTCTATCGATTTGCTCGAGTGAGCCTAGTAACATCTCCATTGTGAGACTTGTTGTTACTGTGTTTGGCACATGTAGCTTGCCAGGCTTTGCCAGGCAAGATACTTTCGGTAAGCAGGCAAGATACTTTCGGTAGCTTGGCAGGATCTCTGAGAGTGTCAGTGGAATCAAACCCAGCTTGGGTGGGCTGGCCACAAGCAAGGCAAACGCCCTACTGCTGTGCTATCTCTCTGGCCCTTTATTCTTGATAATGACTTCTAAAGCAGTATTCTTCAATCTGTAGTCCACAGACCAGAGCTGGTCCACAGGTGTAGTGAAAGTGAATGGTCTCCTGCAGAGGCTTTAGCTGCCAATCCATGGACCAGTGGGCAGGACAGGTGCTGGTCCACAGGTGTGAAAAGATTAAGAGCATTCATTGTTCTATCATTCTCTGACCCAGAGAAGAAAGGAGATGATCCCAGCTGCCTCAGACTCATCCATGTCTGCTAGAATTCCTTTCAGGGAATCCACCCTTATGTCTTGGGGAAACCTAATTCTACACAGATTCACTACCTACCACTCACCAAAATGGCAACGATGATAAGATGTCTTGGCCATCCTTGGAACAATAGTTGGGAGTCTACAATTGGGAAAAATAGAGAGCTGACTTAGAAACAATCAGGGAGGGAAAGAAGGAAGTAAAGAGAAACCAGATTGACTGGAGAAGAGTTCTTGGAGCTGAGGAAAAATAAGGGGCCTAGCATGCCAGCCCCAAAGGCCTGGAAAAACCTATGTAAACTTTGGAAGAAAGGGGTTTTCTGACTGGAATCCATATCAGTGGGAAGTCAGGTACACCTCTGGAAAGGGTCTAAATCAGTCATAATAGGTGAATGAAAAGTCATCTACATAGATTTCAAGAGCTGAGAGAGAGCACATAAACAATTGTCATAAAAAGGATATTTGGAGAAATTTGGTACCCCAAAAGGTAACATTTACCACCAATCACTGTTTCTTTTTCTGACACAGACCCCTCTCCCCTCCCACCAATTCCCTTTTTTCAGAGTAGGTGAGCAGGGTACAAATGAGCTCAATCTTCATTTTTTTTAGTAGGAGCTAAAGTGGTTACTTTCACAAATCAAGACTTGGATGTATAACACATTCTAAGGAGATCAGCACCAGAAGAAGTGAATCACAAATCAAAACCAGGTCTGAGGAGGAGTGATGGCCACAGAAACTGCTCTTCATCATCACAGCTTCTCTGCGCTCCTTCTGTGCTGTTACTTGGATAAATATCTCAAACAATATACCTGAGGTGGTAA